AGGCTATAAAGTAAAAAGAATTTTCTAAATAAACGTGACACTTTAGTGGAAAAATGAATACAACCAAGAAGATTTTGAGTCTGACACTTAATTGCTATCTGACCCGGGGCAAATTACTTAGTGACTATGAACCTGCTTATTTCCTTATCGCTAAATCTGCCCTTCCTACTTTACAGAGAATTTATGAGAAACAAATGACAAAGGGCAGTCATTAGTATGTGAAAGTCCTTTGCATACCATAATGTACTATAATTCCATGAAGCATTATTAAAGTAGGTTAAAAGGATAATATTCCAGTATGTTCCTGGGTATCATTTTCACATACAGAAATACAGAGCAGGGTGTGGTGGCTCATGCCTATAATCCAACACTTTGGGAGGCTGATGTGGGAGATCTTTTGAGCCCAGGAGCTTGAGGCCAGCCTGAGCAACATAGTGAGACCCCCATCTCCATCTCTACAAAAAATAAAAATATTAGCCGGATGTGGCAATATGCACCTGCAGTTCCAGCTACTAGAAAGGCTAAGGTGGGAGGACTGCTTGAGCCTGGCAGGTTGAGACTGCAGTGAATTGTGACTGAGCCACTATACTGCAGCCTGGGTGACAGAGACTGTGTCAAAAAAAAAAAAAAAAAAAAGGAAAGGAAATTCTCCTTGTCTTCTGGCCCTATGAGTTACTCAAGCTACTCTCAAGCGGAGCCCTGTGTGAGACAGACTTCTAAATTTAAGCCAGTTGAAATAGCTTACTGTGCTTTCGGGTCATTATGTGGTCTATTTGGTCATCTGTGCACTCTCAGAATGCAGCAAAGGGTAAGTCCACAAGGGTGCAGAAAAAGCTTAGAGGGAAAAAATGTATGCTGTAGTTTTTGCATTGTGCTTTTCCGTATGAATGAGTAATAGCATTACACAAAGAACCCCTACAAAGAAAGAGCTGAGGTAATTGCCTCATGACATTAGTAAATGATTTCAGCACATAAAGGGAACTGGATGGCAGTAATTCAAGCAGTCTAAAAGACTCTGAAAAAGGCCACAAGCCTTTTTCAGAAAAGAACCATAGATTGCTACCAATTTAGAGAAATCAAATGTTCTAATCCACAAGATAGAAATTAATCAATAAGCAAATTTTAGGGTGACTGACATCTTATCATTTGAGAGTGATTTGTGAACAAAAGACAAATTATTTCCTACGCCAACTATTTACCATATTTTCCAGACTATATACTATAAATAAAGCCAAAATTTCTAACATATTTTTCTCCTTAATCCTTTTTATTAAATCCTTCAAAAAGAGCAGCTCTAAATTTTCATCAATTCAGTAATTCAAACAGTTATGTGTTGAGTGCCTCCCAAAGAAGCTAACTGGCTGGTGCACTCTAGAAGTTATCCCAGAAACCAGGTGCATACAGGACAGCAAGTGCAGAGTGAGAGCCTTGACCCAAGATGTGCTTTATGATGTATGCTGTAACATCTCAGGCAGTGTACAAAGAAAGATGCAACTAAATCCTGTAAAATGTTAGGCTAATTTTTCCCTGCAAGAGTGGCACAACTTTTTGTTTGTTTGTTTGTTTGTTTGTTTGTTTTAAGAAATGGGGTCTCACTCTATCTCCCAGATTGGAGTATGGTGGATTGATCTCAGCTCACTGCAGCCTCGACCTCTGGGGATCAAGCGACCCTCCCACCTCAGCCTCTCAAGTAGTTGGAACCACAGACATGCACTACCACAGCTGGCTAACTTTTTAATTTTTTGTAGAGATGGGGTCTCACTATATTGCACAGGCTGGTCTCGTCCTAGGCTCAAGCAATCCTCCCACCTCGGCCTCCCAAAGTGTGGAGATTACAGGTATGAGCCAACACACCTGGCCACAACTGTTTTATTTATTTATTTATTTATTTATTTATTTATTTATTTATTTATGAGACGGACTCTGGCTCTGTCGCCCAGGGTAGAGTGCAGTGGCACGGTCTCGGCTCACTGCAAGCTCTGTCTCCTGGGTTCACGCCATTCTCCTGCCATAGCCTCCCGAGTAGCTAGGACTACAGATGCCACCACCACGCCCAGCTAATTTTTTGTATTTTTAGTAGAGACATCTTTTCACGGTGTTAGTCAGGATGGTCTCGATCTCCTGACCTCGTGATCCACCTGCCTTGGCCTCCCAAAGTGCTGGGACTACAGGCATGAGCCACCGTGCCCGGCACCACACTGTTTTTAGGTCACTTTTGTTTGAGATGGAGTCTCGCTCTGTCACCTAGGCTGGAGTGCAATGGCGTGATCTCAGCTCACTGCGACCTCTGCCTCCCGGGTTCAAATGATTCCCCTGCCTCAGCCTCCTGAGTAGCTGGGACTACAGGAACGCACCACCACACCCAGCTAATTTTTGTATTTTTAGCAGAGACGGGGTTTCACCATGTTGGTCAGGCTGATCTCGAACTCCTGACCTCCTGATCTGCCCGCCTCAGCCTCCTAAAGTGCTGGGATTATAGGCAAGAGCCACCACACCTGGCTTTAGGTCACTTTGGGAGCTGGCCAGAAGCTGATTTTTTTTTTTTAAAGCCTTTAATGGCAATGATTAATGTAAATTTTCTTCCTCCTCCCTTCCCTTGAACACAGCCTCGGCATTCTTCTAAGCTTCAGTGTTTCCGTGGCTATCAGAGTACATATGTGAGATAAAACCTATTCCACATCGCTGGGTTAGGCTGTAACAAGTTCTGGGAGATGCTGATGTAGGATTAAACTACAATAGGCATTGGAAACAGCCAATTGGTAGCTCCTAAGATCTTGGAGAAAATGGAGTCGATCCCTAATTGTGGGAACAGCAAATTCTACTCCCTAAAATGAAAGGGGCTAATGGAAAACTTATGATAAGAGTTCTTCCCACATTTCCTCACTAGAGCAAAGTATTTGTCTTAGGCATGTGTGTAATTGTTGCATGACAGCATCAAGATACCCTATGTGGGGGCTGTGTGAGAAATCACTATGCAGGATGCACTCAATGTTTCCCCGTGTTGTGAGAGAATTCCTCTTCTATTTGACAACACAGATGTCCCTCACAGCACATGAAGGCTTCTCAGATACTTTCCAGACATCCCCAGAACAGGAGATAAATGGGTACAGAACCTTTTTATTACTCTGTTCTGCTGAATACAAGTCTTAGGAGAAAGGACTGTATCTTTGGAATCATGAAATTATTATGTATAAAACACATAGTATGATCGAGAACATTAGGCCACAACTTCAAGGCTGCAGATAGAGGAGAACATTAGTATCTAGAAACACAGAGGCCTATAGCGAATTTGAAAGGACTACAGTCTCATTCAGCAATGAACAGCTGCGGTTTGTTTCTAGAGCTGGTGAATTCCCCTCAGGCAGTGACTTTTGTAAAAGGGGACAAAAAAGGTTTCCACTCCTGAACACTCTCAAGGTCCTTTGCTGCACTCTCACATTTCACCCAAAGCCATAAGGGCAGCCTATTTACTCTGAAACTGCGTATCTTTGATACAGCTTTGGAGGGGATTATTTCCAAGAACTACATGTCATGCTGCTCCCCACCCTTTGCCATTTATTACAACTGAACCCTCAGCCACACTGCAGTGTAATCTGCCAAAAAGGAATAGCTACTAAACTGAGAGCCCTCTTTGTCCACGAGGACCCAACTTGTGCTGTACTAATGTGGAAGGGAAACCATCCAAGATTTTCAACGAGTAGGTTTGAGGTATGCACCGTTATAGACACAAACTGTCTTACGGTGATAGCCGGCTAGAGGTATCCTGTGCTACATTTTGAGAAACACTTGAAGCCACAGAGCTATTTCTCTTTCAAACATATTGACACCACAGATGTGAAGAAAAAAGCACACACAGTTAATGAGCCCACAGCATACCCAAATGCTCTGAGAAGTTAGCCAAAACAGAGAAGAAAACTATTAATACTAATCTGGATCAGGGAATAGGATCAGTATGAACAGCTCAACAACTTGACAGCTGTAAATCAAAGTCAACCACAAGGCAACCTAGGAATCTCCCCAAAGACGTAGTAAGTAGTTTAGGCCAAAAAAGTATGGGGAAATTTGTTCTCAAAGATTTCATTACCAGTAACATGAAAGTAGAAAGAGAGACACTATATTGAGGCTCTGAAATAGATTTACTATGTTTAGTCTCAAAGGCCTGTATCAAGATCTTGTCTGGGATTTGATCTAAAAAAAATTTTTTTTTTGAGCTTCCACTAGAGAAGTATAAAAAAAAATTTTTTTTAAGGTTTTAAAAAACTCTGGGAAAGATTATGGACAGACAAGACAACTTAGATTGTTTCCAGTTATTTCTCAAATATGAAGTTATAACTCTTAAATTTACCTTAGGGTGCATAAGGATTCAAGTCTGGTGAACAGAGATGGGATGAAGATACCTAGTTCCCACTGATCTCATGACCCCGTTATAAAAAGTAGATTCTTAAAAAATATATAAATGTGTACAAAATACATTAACACATACACATAAACACACTTATATACATTTTGCAGATCCATTACAACTTTGCATGATTGCTCTTCCATAATCGTTAATGACATAAAAACTTTTGTCCCAAGTCCAACTATTCTCATGCCTGCTGCAGAGATGAAGCATTTGGTTCAGGAGTATGAATGAATTAAATATATGACTACAGGTAATATTTTTGGTGACAATGAAAGTGGCTATTTAACACAGCAGGATTTTGGCCTAAGCTTTGGCCTGTATTTATGACTACAAAAGTTTGGAGATTACAGCCAAAAAAAAGACTGGAAATTCAGAAGGAAAGTTTTTTGTTTTGTTTTGAATAGTTTTACTCTTAAGGCATCTTTTTGTGTGTTATGAGACGACAAGTAAAATCTGCCACCTCAGAGTGTTCTCTTATATTCCTGTAATGGTGGGGAGAAGATTCTGGTTCTTACCTCAGAAAAGAAAAAGCAGAACTTATTTCAGGAACATCAAGGTAGTACCTGTCAGAGAGAAAAAGTTCTGATAAACCTACCAGGAGGCGTGCAGGCATCTGCAGGAGACTGAACAAATGTGGATCGCCTTTTGGTTGGCATGGGCAAAGCCATCTTCTGTTCTTTATGCTTTGCCAGTGCAGCCTGAACTGCTTCTGTGTGAATATCTGAAAAATTAAACATTTGCATTTATCAGTGTCCGGCTCTTAAATGTGTTTACCACTGTGAGCTGAACTATCACTGCCTCAATTGTTTTTTAAAAAAAAAAGGTAAAGGGAATGTTCAGGTGATTTTTATTTATAATTTGATTAAGACCAATTAGAAATAAAAATCAAAAACAAAAGAAGCCAAGGATAATTTTATGGAGGAGGAAAATGAAGTCCAGGATGATGTGTGACTGCTTAACATATCAGACAAAGAGTTGACAGAGATGTGGGGAGGTGGGTGGGGACAGAATACTGAGTCTAACATGCATCTGTGCCAGGCAGGAAATCCTGCCTCAAATGGAATGAGTGCTGTGCAGGTGCCTGGAGAACACTCATTATTTTTCAAGAAAAGAAGCTTAGGATTTTCTTAACTGTCTGAAAGAAAACTTTGTTGAGACCCCTCAGTTCTATGCCACAGGAAGAGAAGGATTAATTTTGATTTAGAAAAACATAAGGGCAGATGTTACTTGTTTGCCACTTTGGGCACAAAAAATTTCAGCTCTCTACTTGAATGTTTAATAGGAATCTCAAAATTAACACATCCAAAGAAAACTCTTCATTTTCTACCCCCACCCCAAAGCTCACTCTATAGTGCCACAAAATTAAATCATACTGTATACAGTATTGTATTCTGCTTTAAAAAACAAACAAACAAACAAAACCTCTTACAAAATCTTACTGAGGTAGATAACAGCTGAGGTAGCTTCCTAAGTCACAAAAAAGTTTCCTTTTGGCTAGGAATGGGCCTAATCCACACACAAACTATCCTTCCATACCTCTCTGTAAAGTAAATATACCCCTTATAAGAGCTAGACAATGAGGTCTTTTTGTTTGTTTGTTTGTTTTTGAATTTAAACTCTGAATCAGGAAACTGCAGGTCCTAAAATGGAATCACTTTAATGACAATGCGACAATGCCCTAGAAAGAAGGAAGGTTTTAAACTTCAAGGCTGAGATTTCCAGAGTTATCTATCCTTTCTAGGGGTTTCTCAAATGTTGATTTGTTTCTATGACCTACCTCAGCTATTTAAGGTAGCCTATGTAAGTTGGCCTATTTCTTTTCTTTTGAGACGGAGTGTCGCTCTGTTGCCCAGGCTGGAGGGCAGTGGCGCAACCTCAGCTCACTGCAACCTCTGCCTCCTGGGTTCAAGCATTCTCCTGCCTCAGCCACCCAAGTAGCTGGGACTACAGGTATGCGCCACCATGCCTGGCTAATTTTTGTATTTTTAGGAGAGACAGGGTTTCACCATGTTGGTCAGGCTGATCTCGAACTCCTGACCTTGTGATCCACCCGCATCGGCCTCCTAAAGTGCTGGGATTATAGGTGTGAGCCACTGCACCTCGCCAGGCTCTGTTTCTTGCAACCAAAAAACCTCCACTAATACAACTAGAAACATCTCACTGTGTAAATACAGACCAATGACAAAAGTTTTAAGGGCTGCATAGTATTCCACTGCATGAATGTGCCATGATTTACTTATACAACTCCTTATTATCAGATACTGGGTTATTTCCAATTTTTGTAACTATTCATAGAAAGAATAATTCAGTATTTTCACCTTAGAACATGTCTATTTTCTTGGACTTAATTCCAATAACTGCTGAGATCAAAGTACATATACTTCTTTTTCCAGAAATGTTTCAAACTTATTTCCTAAAAATAAGGAACTTTCTCTTATAAAACCCCAGGACATTATTCAAAATCCAGAAAAATTGGCCTGGTGCAATGGCTCACACCTGTAATCCCAGCACTTTGGGAGGCCTAAGTGGGCAGATAACTTGAAGTCAGGAATTCGAGACCAGCCTGGCCAACATGGTAAAACCCTGTCTCTACTAAAAATACAGAAATTAGCCAGGCATGGTGGCATGCACCTGTAATCCCAGCTACTCAGGAGGCTGAGACAGAAGAATCACTTGAACCCAGGAGGTGGAGCTTGCAGTGAGCCGAGATCACACCACTGCACTCCAGCCTGGATGACAGAGCAAGACTCCGTCTCAAAAAAACAAAACAAGAAATCCCAGAAATTCTTGGTTTTTTTTTTTTTTTGTTTTGTTGTTGTTTTGTTTTGTTTTCTTGAGATAAGGTATTGCTACGTATTATTGCCCAGGGTTGGTCTTGAACTGGGCTCCAACGATCCACCTGCCTCAGCCTCCTAAAGTGCTGGGATTACAGGTTTGAGTCAATGAGCTCAGCCAAAATACAGAAATTCAACACTGATACAAACTATTATCTAACCCACAAACCATATTCCAAAATAGTCTATTGTCCCAATAATGTCCTCTATAGGTTTTCCTCCCACCTTTTTTCCTGATCTGGGATCTACTGGAGGAAATCCTACTTAGTTGTCCTATCTCTTGATTCTCTTATAATCCAGGACTGTTTCTCAGCCTTACTTTTTCTTTTATTATCTTGATATTTTTTGTACAGACTAGTTATTTTGTAAAATGTTCTTTAATTTTGGCTTGATATTTCCTTATAATTAGTTTCAGGTTATACATTTTGGCAGAAATACCATAGAAATAATTTGTTGTCTTCTTCTTCTTTTTTTTGGTAAAGATGGGGTCTCACTACATTGCCCAGGCTGGTCTCCAACTACCAGTCTCAAGGAATCCTCCTGCTTCAGCCCCCAAAATGCTGCACTGGGATTATAGGCGTGAGTCACCATGCCCAGCCAGAAATAATGTCTTTCTCAAAACATGATGTCAGAAGGTGTCTCGCTCCATTATGGTAATATAACTTGAATTGCAAAGTTGGTTAGTGTGGTGAATATGGTATCTGCCAAATAAACTCACTGTAAACTTACCATTCTTCCCTTTGCAATTAATAAGTAATTCATGGGAGGATACTTTTGAGACTATGTAAATGTTATATACTTTGTCAACCTTTCAACTCACTAGTTTTAGCACCCATTGATAATTCTTGCTAGAATCAATTTTTTTTTTTTTTAATAGAGATGGGGTCTCCCTATGTTGCCCAGGCTGGTCTCAAACTCCTGGGCTCAAGGGATTCTCCTGCCTTGGCATCCAAAAGTGAATAGGATTACAGG